GTTAATAAGGTAGTTTGTTAGTTAATATGGTAGTTTGTTAGTTAATAAGGTAGTTTGTTAGTTAATATGGTAGTTTGTTAGTTAATAAGGTAGTTTGTTAGTTAATATGGTAGTTTGTTAGTTAATATGGTAGTTTGTTAGTTAATAAGGTAGTTTGTTAGTTAAATATGGTAGTTTGTTAGTTAATATGGTAGTTTGTTAATATGGTAGTTTGTTAGTTAATAAGGTAGTTTGTTAGTTAATATGGTAGTTTGTTAGTTAATAAGGTAGTTTGTTAGTTGGTAGTTTGTTAGTTAATATGGTAGTTTGTTAGTTAATAAGGTAGTTTGTTAGTTAATAATGGTAGTTTGTTAGTTAATAAGGTAGTTTGTTAGTTAATATGGTAGTTTGTTAGTTAATATGGTAGTTTGTTAGTTAATAAGGTAGTTTGTTAGTTAATATGGTAGTTTGTTAGTTAATAAGGTAGTTTGTTAGTTAATATGGTAGTTTGTTAGTTAATATGGTAGTTTGTTAGTTAATAAGGTAGTTTGTTAGTTAATATGGTAGTTTGTTAGTTAATATGGTAGTTTGTTAGTTAATAAGGTAGTTTGTTAGTTAATAAGGTAGTTTGTTAGTTAATAAGGTAGTTTGTTAGTTAATAAGGTAGTTTGTTAGTTAATAAGGTAGTTTGTTAGTTAATATGGTAGTTTGTTAGTTAATAAGGTAGTTTGTTAGTTAATAAGGTAGTTTGTTAGTTAATAAGGTAGTTTGTTAGTTAATAAGGTAGTTTGTTAGTTAATAAGGTAGTTTGTTAGTTAATATGGTAGTTTGTTAGTTAATAAGGTAGTTTGTTAGTTAATAAGGTAGTTTGTTAGTTAATATGGTAGTTTGTTAGTTAATAAGGTAGTTTGTTAGTTAATATGGTAGTTTGTTAGTTAATAAGGTAGTTTGTTAGTTAATATGGTAGTTTGTTAGTTAATAAGGTAGTTTGTTAGTTAATAAGGTAGTTTGTTAGTTAATATGGTAGTTTGTTAGTTAATAAGGTAGTTTGTTAGTTAATAAGGTAGTTTGTTAGTTAATAAGGTAGTTTGTTAGTTAATAAGGTAGTTTGTTAGTTAATATGGTAGTTTGTTAGTTAATAAGGTAGTTTGTTAGTTAATAAGGTAGTTTGTTAGTTAATAAGGTAGTTTGTTAGTTAATAAGGTAGTTTGATAGTTTTAGTTAGTTAATATGGTAGTTTGTTAGTTAATAAGGTAGTTTGTTAGTTAATAAGGTAGTTTGTTAGTTAATAAGGTAGTTAATAGTGGTAGTTTGTTAGTTAATAAGGTAGTTTGTTAGTTAATAAGGTAGTTTGTTAGTTAATAAGGTAGTTTGTTAGTTAATATGGTAGTTTGTTAGTTAATAAGGTAGTTTGTTAGTTAATATGGTAGTTTGTTAGTTAATATGGTAGTTTGTTAGTTAATATGGTAGTTTGTTAGTTAATATGGTAGTTTGATAGTTAATATGGTAGTTTGATAGTTAATATGGTAGTTTGTTAGTTAATATAAGGTAGTTTGTTAGTTAATAAGGTAGTTTGTTAGTTAATAAGGTAGTTTGTTAGTTAATAAGGTAGTTTGTTAGTTAATATGGTAGTTTGTTAGTTAATATGGTAGTTTGTTAGTTAATATGGTAGTTTGTTAGTTAATATGGTAGTTTGTTAGTTAATATGGTAGTTTGATAGTTAATATGGTAGTTTGATAGTTAATATGGTAGTTTGTTAGTTAATATGGTAGTTTGTTAGTTAATATGGTAGTTTGTTAGTTAATAAGGTAGTTTGTTAGTTAATAAGGTAGTTTGATAGTTAATAAGGTAGTTTGATAGTTAATAAGGTAGTTTGTTAGTTAATAAGGTAGTTTGTTAGTTAATATGGTAGTTTGTTAGTTAATATGGTAGTTTGTTAGTTAATAAGGTAGTTTGTTAGTTAATATGGTAGTTTGTTAGTTAATATGGTAGTTTGTTAGTTAATAAGGTAGTTTGTTAGTTAATATGGTAGTTTGTTAGTTAATAAGGTAGTTTGTTAGTTAATATGGTAGTTTGTTAGTTAATATGGTAGTTTGTTAGTTAATATGGTAGTTTGTTAGTTAATAAGGTAGTTTGTTAGTTAATAAGGTAGTTTGTTAGTTAATAAGGTAGTTAGTTAATAAGGTAGTTTGTTAGTTAATAAGGTAGTTTGTTAGTTAATAAGGTAGTTTGTTAGTTAATAAGGTAGTTTGTTAGTTAATAAGGTAGTTTGTTAGTTAATAAGGTAGTTTGTTAGTTAATAAGGTAGTTTGTTAGTTAATATGGTAGTTTGTTAGTTAATAAGGTAGTTTGATAGTTAATATGGTAGTTTGTTAGTTAATAAGGTAGTTAGTTAATAAGGTAGTTTGTTAGTTAATAAGGTAGTTTGTTAGTTAATAAGCTAGTTTGATAGTTATTAAGTTAGTTTGATAGTTAATATGGTAGTTTGTTAGTTAATATGGTAGTTTGTTAGTTAATATGGTAGTTTGTTAGTTAATATGGTAGTTTGTTAGTTAATATGGTAGTTTGTTAGTTAATAAGGTAGTTTGTTAGTTAATAATGTAGTTTGTTAGTTAATAAGGTAGTTTGATAGTTAATATGGTAGTTTGTTAGTTAATAAGGTAGTTTGTTAGTTAATATGGTAGTTTGTTAGTTAATATGGTAGTTTGTTAGTTAATAAGGTAGTTTGTTAGTTAATAAGGTAGTTTGTTAGTTAATAAGGTAGTTAGTTAATAAGGTAGTTTGTTAGTTAATAAGGTAGTTTGTTAGTTAATAAGGTAGTTAGTTAATAAGGTAGTTTGTTAGTTAATAAGGTAGTTTGTTAGTTAATAAGGTAGTTAGTTAATAAGGTAGTTTGTTAGTTAATAAGGTAGTTAGTTAATAAGGTAGTTTGTTAGTTAATAAGGTAGTTTGTTAGTTAATAAGGTAGTTAGTTAATAAGGTAGATTGTTAGTTAATAAGGTAGTTTGTTAGTTAATAAGCTAGTTTGATAGTTATTAAGTTAGTTAGATAATAACCTATGATAATAATAGTGACAGGATGCAAACAAACGCGAACAAAGTTGTTAGGTGTTTTTATTTTGTGGTAAACAGTAGAGGCCAGCTTGTGATGGTGTAGACATTTGCCACTCTAGACACATATATGTAAACACAAACAGGAGGTAAACAATGTAATGTAAACACAAACAGGAGATAAACAATGTAATGTAAACAATTAAATGGTAAACAGTAATTCTTCTTAGGTGGAGAATACTTGTAAGCGATGTAAATAAACACAACGTTGCCACATCTAACAAAACACACAATACACTGTAGCAGGTAGAAGTGGAGGCGACTTTATTTCACTGTTTACTATGATGTCAACAAACACAGCGACTGTCCAACAATTTCATAATATTTTATTTCTTGATTTAGATAATTGTTTGTGATTAATTAAATATGCAATTGTGAAAAAAAATACCTTAGCTAATTTAAAATTTAATTACAATTTGTGGACAATTCCCAGTTCTAATTGGCCCCCGTTTTAATAGGTCACGATTCTTCATGCTCTTTGTATGGGTCACCATTACTACTGGGGCCTATTAGGACTGGGACCTATTAGAACTGGGACCTATTAGAACTGGGACCTATTAGAACTGGGACCTATTAGAACTGGGGCCTATTAGAACTGGGACCTATTAGAACTGGGACCTATTAGAACTGGGACCTATTAGAACTGGGACCTATTAGAACTAGGGCCTATTAGAACTGGAACCTAGAACTGGGACCTATTAGAACTGGGACCTGGGACCTTAGAACTGGGACCTATTAGAACTGGGACCTGGGACCTATTAGAACTGGGGACCTATTAGAACTGGGGAACCTATTAGAACTGGGATTAACCTATTAAACTGGGACCTGTTAGACTGGGATCTATTAGAACTGGGGCCTATTAGAACTGGGACCTATTATAACTGGGACCTATTAGAACTGGGACCTATTAGAACTGGGACCTATTAGAACTGGGACCTATTAGAACTAGGGCCTATTAGAACTGGAACCTATTAGAACTGGGACCTATTAGAACTGGGACCTATTAGAACTGGGACCTATTAGAACTGGGACCTATTAGAACTGGGACCTATTAGAACTGGGACCTATTAGGTGTGTAAGCAAAAATATTAATGGCTTGGTTACATACAGATGTGAAAGTGATTAGAACATTCTAATTAGTCCTGGACGTAGTTAGTTTGTCAGTTAATTTGATTAGAAATATGTTATTTTCCCCACAATTAAAGGGACGAATTATGCTGAATAAATTATTATTATTATTATTATTATTATTATTGTTATTATTATTATTATTATTATTATTATTATTATTATTATTATTATTATTATTATTGTTATTATTATTGTTATTATTATCATTATTATTATTATTGTTGTTATTATTGTTGTTATTGTTATTATTATTATTATTATTATTATTATTATTATTATTATTATTATTATTATTATTATTATTATTATTATTATTATTATTATTATTATTGTTATTATCATCATTGTTGTTATTGTTATTATTATCATTATTATCATCAAATATATCCTAATTATATCATATTTAATTAATCTTCATCTTTCTGTACACAATTAACTGTACTCAAAGAAATACTAATGAGCTAGATTAGGTTAGGTTTAATTTGTTGAGTACATGATTAAATACCATATAATTATATATAGTGAGTCCTTATATATATAATTATTACACAATTATAAATGAATCATGTAATTATCTGAAATCTGGTAGAATTAATTACTGAGTATAATTAATCAACTAATTACAATCCAATAAGTTACGTCGATAATTGGATGGGTCTTAGGTAAATATTTTGATGTGGTCTTTCAGTGGGTCTTTTTCCTTATCTCTGGGGGTAGTCTTTGCTAACGGGGTTTCTGGGGGGTCTTAGAGGAGGGAGTCATAGAGAAGAGGGGGTTTTATAGGAAGGGGGGTCTTAGAGGAAGGAAGGGGGGGACTTGGAGGAAGGAAAGGGGGTCTTGGAGGAAGGAAGGGGAGTCTTAATCCACCCAGCTTATTTTTCACCAATGACCTCAGCTTTCAGTCTCTCAGCTAAAGCTCTCCTCAGCTTTAGCGTCTGGGGGTCAATGCTTGAACCATCTAGTACCTGTGAGAAGAATCCACAACCCTGTTAGAATCGTTTACAACCCTGTACATGTAATTTAGAATCATTTACAACCCCGTACATGTAATTTAGAATCGTTTACAACCCTGTACATGTAATTTAGAATCATTTACAACCCCGTACATGTAAGTTAGAATCATTTACAACCCCGTACATGTAATTTAGAATCATTTACAACCCCGTACATGTAAGTTAGAATCATTTACAACCCCGTACATGTAATTTAGAATCATTTACAACCCCGTACATGTAATTTAGAATCATTTACAACCCCGTACATGTAATTTAGAATCATTTACAACCCCGTACATGTAATTTAGAATCATTTACAACCCTGTACATGTAATTTAGAATCATTTACAACCCCGTACATGTAATTTAGAATCATTTACAACCCCGTACATGTAAGATAGAATCATTTACAACCCCGTTCATGTAAGTTAGAATCATTTACAACTCCGTACATGTAAGTTAGAATCATTTACAACCCCGTACATGTAATTTAGAATCATTTACAACCCCGTACATGTAATTTAGAATCATTTACAACCCCGTACATGTAAGTTAGAATCATTTACAACCCCGTTCATGTAAGTTAGAATCATTTACAATGCTCGTACACTTGCCCACACTTCCACCTGCTACAGTCAGAAGTGTAAATCCTAATCCCTGAGAGTTGTGGGGTGTGAGGAGGGTGATGGTCTAGTGGTCTTGGAGGGGAGGTTAGTGGTCTTGGAGGGGAGGAAGCGGTCTTGGAAGGAGAGTTTATGGGGTCTTGGAGAAATGAAGGGGGTCTTCGAAGGAGAGTTTACGGGGTCTTGGAGAAATGAAGGGGGTCTTGGAAGGAGAGTTTAGGGGGTCTTGGAGAAATGAAGGGGTTCTTGGAAGGAGAGTTTAGGGGGTCTTGGAAGGAGAGTTTAGGGGGTCTTGGAAGGAGAGTTTAGGGGGTCTTGGAAGGAGCAAAATAGACACCTTACCTTACGTGCAGCCCTAGAGGATTTGGGTCTTTTTTGAGGCGCCGTTTCTTCATAGGCAGCCAATTGCTTCTCTCTCTCCTGCTGTTTCAAGGCCAAGAGTTTATCCCGTTGCCTCTTCAGGTACTTTTGACGCCGTTTAAGCTCTTCAGGATCGATAGAATTGTTCTGGAATATTGTAAGTGGTAGAGTGTTTTGCCTGGAGGAGGAAGAAGAAAGAAGGAGGAGGAGGAGAAATACAAAGAGGAGGTGGAAGAAGAAGAGGAGGAGGAGGAGGAGAAGAAATACAAAGAGGAGGTGGAAGAAGAGGAGGAGGAGAAGTTAAATAATGAAGAAGGAGAAACAAGAGGAAAAGTATGGGGAATTATTACGCTCACGTCCATGTACAACACAGAAACATACACACACACAGACACACACAGACACAGACACACACACACACACACACACACACACACACACAGACACACACAGACACAGACACACACAGACACACACACACACACACACACACACACACACACAGACACACACACACAGACACACACACACACACACACACACACACACACACAGACACACACACACACACACACACACACACACACACACACACACACACACACAAACACACACACACACACACACACACACACACACACACACAGACACACAAACACACACACACACACACACACACACACACACACACACACACACACACACACACACACACACACACACACACACATACACACACACACACACACACACACACACACACAGACACACACACACAGACACACACACAAACACACACACACACATACACACACACACACAAACACACACACACCTGGATGCTGGGAAGCGGCTCAGGTGTAGGTATGTCATCAGGTGTATCAGAGAGGGACATCTTCAAGGCTTTCTCCAGCATCTCCTTCTCCCATTCTCTCTCTCTCTCAAGTCTTTCTTTCTCATCGTTGGACTCCACCAGCGCCTTCTCCAGATCCCGTGATTGGACGTCTAGACCAGCGTGCAGGGCTTCGTGTTCCTCCAGCGACTTCCTGAAGGAGGTGGTCCCGTGTTATGGTTAACGGCCCAACACTTCATACTCATATTAGGGCCAACCTAACCTAACATAACCAAACCTAAACTAACCAAACCTAACCTAACCAAACCTAAACTAACCTAACCTAACCAAACCTAATCTATCCTAACCAAACCTAACCTAACTTAACATAACCTAACATAACCTAACCTAACCTAACCAAACCTAACCTAACCAAACCTAATCTAACCTAACCAAACCTAACCTAACCTAACCAAACCTAACCTAACCAAACCTAATCTAACCTAACCAAACCTAACCTAACTTAACATAACCTAACCTAACTTAACCAAACCTAATCTAACCCAACCAAACCTAACCTAACTTAACATAACCTAACATAACCCAACCTAACCTAAACCTAATCTAACCCAACCAAACCCAACCAAACAACCAAACCTAACCTAACTTAACCTAACCAAACCCAATCTAACCCAACCAAACCCAACCAAACCTAACCAAACCCAACCAAACCCAACCTAACCTTAACCCAACCAAACCCAACCAAACCCAACCAAACCCAACCAAACCCAACCTAACCTAACCAAACCTAACCAAACCCAACCAAACCCAACCAAACCCAACCAAACCCAACCAAACCCAACCAAACCTAATCTAACCCACCCAAACCCAACCTAACTTAACATAACCCAACATAACCCAATCTAACCCAACAAACCAAACCCAACCAACCCAACCTCAACCAAACCCAATCTAACCTAACCAATCTAACCCAACCAAACCAAACTAATCTAACCTAACCAAACCTAACCTAACCTAACCTAACCAAACCTAAACTAACCGAACCTAACCAAACCTAACCTAACCAAACCTAACCTAATCTAACCTAACCAAACCTAACCTAATCTAACCCCAGCGTCTTATAGCCAAGTCCTATTATAGTAATTATGATATATTTAATGAGACTAAAGAGGAGGAGGGGGTCTTGGAGGGAGAGAAGGGGGTCTTGGAGGAGGAAGGGGTCTTGGAGGGAGAGAAGGGGGTCTGGAGGGAGAAGGGGTCTTGGAGGGAGAGAAGGGGTCTTGGAGGGAGAGAAGGGGTCTGGAGGAGGAAGGGGGTCTGGAGGAGAGAAGGGGGTCTGGAGGGAGAGAAGGGGTCTTGGAGGGAGGAAGGGGGTCTTGGAGGGAGAGAAGGGGTCTTGGAGGAGAGAAGGGGGGTCTTGGAGGAGGAAGGGGGTCTTGGAGGGAGAGAAGGGGGTCTGAGGGAGAGAAGGGGTCTTGGAGGAGAGAAGGGGTCTTGGAGGGAGAGAAGGGTCTTGGAGGAGAGAAGGGGTCTTGGAGGGAGTGAAGGGGGTCTTGGAGGAGTGAAGGGGGTCTTGGAGGAGGAAGGGGGTCTTGGAGGGAGGAAGGGGTCTTGGAGGGAGTGAAGGGGGTCTTGATGGAGGAAGGGGTCTTGGAGGAGGAAGGGGGTCTTGGATGGAGGAAGGGGGTCTTGGAGGAGTGAAGGGGTCTTGGAGGGAGGAAGGGGGTCTGAGGAGTGAAGGGGGTCTTGGAGGGAGTGAAGGGGGTCTGGATGGAGGAAGGGGGTCTTGGAGGGAGGAAGGGGGTCTTGGAAGAGATAAAATACTGATCAAGAAATATTAAAAAAGATAAAGAAAAAATAAAATAAACGGTGAAAACATTTATCGATAAAATAACTAAATATGGTTAGGTTAGGTTAGGGTAGGTTAAAGTAGGGTTAGGCTAGGTTAGGTTAGGTTAGGTTAGGTTAGCTAGGTTAGGGTTAGGGTTAGTTAGGCTAGGCTTGGTTGGTTAGGTTAGGTGAGGTAGGTTAGGTTAGGTTAGTTAGGTTAGGGTAGGTTAGGTTTGGTTAGTTTAGGTTAGGTTAAGTTGGGTTGTAGGTTAGGTTAGGTAGATTAGGCTTGGTTAGGTTTAGGTTATGTTAGGCTAGGTTAGGTGAGGGTAGGTTAGGTTAGGTTAGTTAGGTTAGGTTAGGTTAGGTATTAGGTTTGGTTAGTTTAGGTTAAGTTAGTTAGGGGGGTAGGTGAGGGGTAGGTTAGGTTAGGTGGAGCAGCACTGAATTTATCTAACTCAAGAGTGATGAATGGTTCCACACACTCACATACTCACACCTCCACATCCACACACCCCAACACCACCCACACACACACCCCAACACCACACCCACACACACCCCAACACCTCCCACACACACCCCAACACCTCCCACACACACCCCAACACCCCCACACACACCCCAACACCTCCCACACACACCCCAACACCTCCCACACACACCCCAACACCTCCCACACACACCCCAACACCACCCACACAACCCCACACACACCACACAACCCACACACCCCAACACCACCACACACACCCCAACACACCCACACAACCCCACACACACCCACACAACCCATACACACACCCCCAACACCTCCCACACACACCCCAACACCTCCCACACACACCCCAACACCACCCACACAACCCATACACACCCAACACCTCCCCACACCCCAACACCACCCACAACCCCACACACACCCACACAACCCATACACACCCCAACACCTCCCCACACACACCCCAACACCACCCACACACCCCAACACCTCCCACACACACCCCAACACCTCCCACACACCCAACACCACCCACACAACCCCACACACACACACAACCCATACACACCCCAACACCCCCCACACACACACCCCAACACCACCCACACACCCCCAACACCTCCCCACACACACCCACACAACCCCACACACACCCCAACACCTCCCACACACCCCAACACAACCCACACACACCCCAACACCACCCACACACCCCAACACCACCCACACACCCCAACACCTCCCCACACACACCCACACAACCCCACACACCCCAACACCTCCCACACACACACCCCAACACAACCCACACACCCCAACACCACCCACACACACCCCAACACCACCCACACACACACCCCAACACCTCCCCACACACACCCCAACACCTCCCCACACACACCCCAACACCACCCACACACCCCAACAACACCACCCACACACCCCAACACCTCCCACACACACACCCCAACACCACCCACACACACACCAACACCACCACACACACCCCAACACCACCCACACACACCCACACACACCCACACACACGCCAAACTTACTTCAATATCTGTTCCAATATTTGCTGATCATCAAGAGGAAAGGCGGCGCCGTTTGTGCTGTGTGCAGGCAGGCTGGAAAGAAGGACTATAGGTCAGCCTCTGTGCAGACTAATGTGCAGAGCAGAACACACAAGAACATAAGAATGGATGAAACACTAACTATTGGTCTCTACAAGGCAGGGGGCCCCATCTACACCCAACTCCTATGGTCCATACTAGGCAGGGGGCCCCATCTACACCCAACCCTGGTCCATACTAGGCAGGGGGCCCCATCTACACCAACCCCTATGGTCCATACTAGGCAGGAGGCCCCATCTACACCCAACCCCTATGGTCCATACTAGGCAGGAGGCCCCATCTACACCCAACCCCTATGGTCCATACTAGGGGAGGCCCCATCTACACCCAACCCCATGGTCCATATCAGGCAGGAGGCCCCATCTACACCCAACTCCTATGGTCCATACTAGCAGGAGGCCCCATCTACACCCAACCCCTATGGTCCATACTAGGAAGGAGGCCCCATCTACACCCAACCTATGGCCCATACTAGGCAGGAGGCCCCATCTAAACCCAAACCCCATGGTCCATACCAGGCAGGGGCCCCATCTACACCCAAACCCTATGGCCCATACTAGGCAGGGGCCCCATCTACACCCAACCCCTATGGTCCATACTAGACAGGAGGCCCCATCTACACCCAACCCCTATGGCCCATACCAGGGCAGGGGCCCCATCTACACCCAACCCTATGGTCCATACCTGAGCAGGAGGCCCCATCTACACCAACCCCATGGCCCATACCAGGCAGGGGCCCCATCTACACCAACCCCTATGGCCCATACTAGGCAGGAGGCCCCATCTACACCCAACCCCTATGGCCCATACTAGGCAGGGGCCCCATCTACACCCAACCCCTATGGTCCATACTAGCAGGGGCCCCTCTACACCCAACCCCTATGGTCCATACCAGGCAGGCCCCATCTACACCAACCCCTTGGCCCATACCAGGCAGGGGGCCCCATCTACACCCAACCCCTATGGTCCATACTCAGGCAGGGGGCCCATCTACACCCAACCCTTATGGTCCATACTAGGCAGGAGGCTCCATCTACACCCAACCCCTATGGTCCATACTAGGCAGGAGGCCCCATCTACACCCAACTCCTATGGTCCATACTAGGCAGGAGGCTCCATCTACACCCAACCCCTATGGTCCATACTAGGCAGGAGGCCCCATCTACACCCAACCCCTATGGTCCATCATTAGCAGGAGGCCCCATCTACACCCAACCCCTATGGTCCATACTAGGCAGGAGGCCCCATCTACACCCAACCCCTATGGTCCATACTAGGCAGGAGGCCCCATCTAACCCAACCCCTATCACTCATATATCCATCCAGCCTGTGTTTGAAGCTAACGAGTGTAGCCGAGAATGATGATGTTTGGTAACTTGTTCCACTCATCCACTACCCAATGTTTACCTATTTGGCGTCTACATATATATTTGTCTAATTTAAAACCATTGTTACAGAGTTCGCTCCTGGTTGGATAGTTTAAGTACCTTTGTTATATGATATATTTGTACTTACTTCTTACCATGTTGAAAGATGTAAGTATATAATCAACCTACCAAAACAGCATAACAAAAGACTCAACCAACACCTACTTTAGAACTTGCTCAAGAACCTGTTGCTCCGCCTCAGGCATATCATCACTTGAGTAAAGGACTCAGGTATAATCCCATATCTCTGCTGTAGGATTTCCAAAGCTTGTAGCTGAAGTTCAATATTTTCTGAATCATCATCCTTTTGAAGATGGTCGTCTGCTGCCCATACTTGTTCAAAGAGTGTCTGGTGGATAGATGGATAGATGGAAACTGTACCTATCCATACTTGGGTCGACTGTGACTCCGATCGAATTAGTGACCCTTAGTATGAAGACCACTTTGATTTTTAGGATTTAGGATGAATTATACACCAAAAATCCTTAAATAGTGTCTTTAGAATTTTTTAGGGGATTTAGGTATCAGGTGCCCTAAAACTCCCTAAAAAGACCCTAAAGTACAGTATGACAATTTAAAAGTATTATTTAACTTATGGTGTCAGATGAGGCTAAATACCTAATAATCTATAATTCTTTAAATAATCTACCTAAAACACCCTAAAAATATATCAAAATCCCTAAAAACGTCAAATTTCCAATATTCTTAAATTCTAAAATACTTGGTCATTATACCTGATGGAAAGGGTGTTCATTGAAGCCTTCCCACACGCTGCTTCAAACTGCTCAGGATTTATGCCCATATCTTCCATATATAAGCCGAGCATGAAGTCTACTAAGGTCTTATACTCTTCGTGGATCTTGTGGTGGCCGTCATCGTCATCCACGCCCGCCTCGAAGACTGTCAGAGGTAAATAAGACCCAAATAAGACGGGAATACTAACTAAGAATAACATGGAGACGATAGTGGTGAAATTTTAACATTGGCCGTTATTAATTGCATTTGGTTATTTTGTCTAGATATATCTTAAATAGTTGTATTTTGTGTGATTAATTTATCCTTTATTATTTCTACTTGTAATAGGTTGAGAATTTAATGGTTATTTTGTAGTTTTCGATAATATCATAGTTATGTTATATTTGCTGGATGTTAAATTAAGGTTACGAACAGGAATGGTCATTTGTTCGTGCTATTATTTTAACATTAATTATTTTTGCGGTGCGGATCAGTCCCAACACTTGATCATTATAAACAAATATACAGATAAAAAATACTAAATCATAATATAACATCAATAAAATATACATTAAATAAGATTTATGCTAATTAAAAAAATACAGTTCCTCTTATGGCTATTCGCACATAATTAATGAAAGATAAACCAAATGTGAATAACCAAAATTTGTATAGGTAAAATCATTAAAAACACTTAATAATTAGTAGATATAATGAAGGTCTATATAAGATCAGGTTAACCTATTTTGACTAGAAAATCGGAACGTTCTGGTGACCTTGTTCGTGACGTCAGGCGGGAAAACATCAGTCACCCTGGAACCATAGAAGTGGGGGTCGTGCGTTATGGTCCGGTATACAGTATATGTTATTTTTATGTTGTTTTCGAGTGTAATTACTATCAAAGTTTAAATGTGAACTACTAGAACCATCTGTAACTAAACTTCTAAAGAAAATTAATAAATGGTGCCCAGCCGACTCAGCATAGGTAAGGTAAGTTCAGTATATCAATTAAAAATATAACGTTAATATATAATTTCATAGGTAATATTTTCTCATTATAAATTAGATAAAATTACAATGTGGGTCTGTAATATATAGCGACATGTGGTGTAATGGTTAGCATACTCGCCTCACAAGCTAGTGGTCCAGGTTCGATCCCCAGGCAGGGTGAAGATAGCAACATTTGCCCCTGTCTACCGGTGTGTGTGTGATGTGTGTGTGTGTGTGTGTGTGTGTGTGTGTATGGATGTGGTGTGTGTGTGTGTGTGTGTGTGTGTATGGATGTGTGTGGATGTGTGTGTGGATGTGTGTGTGTGTGTGTGTGTGTGGATGTGTGTGTGTGTGTGTAGATGGTGTGTGTGATGGATGATGTGTGTGTGTGTGTGTGTGTGTGTGTATGATGTGTGTGTGTGTGTGTGTGTATGGATGTGTGTGTGTGTGTATGGATGTGTGTGTGTGTGTGTATGTGTGTGTGTGTGTGTATGTGTGTGTGTATGGATGTGTGTGTGTGTGTATGGATGTGTGTGTGTGTGTATGGATGTGTGTGTGTGTATGGATGTGTGTGTGTGTGTGTGGATGTGTGTGTGTATGGATGTGTGTGTGTGTGTGTATGGATGTGTGTGTGTGTGTATGATGTGTGTGTGTGTGTGTGGAGAGAGATTTGCTGGCTGAACATTTATCTCCAGGTTCTGCCACCACTCGCCCTCCCATCGATTTGATTGTTGAGGCAGACAGACAGACAGACAGAGCACACAGCATTGCATCGCATACAATCGCCATCGCCATCGCACGGCATATCAACGGCACGCCATCGCCATCGCTACCATCGCCATCGCCACGCCATCGCCATCGGCACGCACACCGCCAACGCACGCATCGCCATCAAGCACGCCACAGCATATCGCACGCCATCGCACGCACGCACGCATACCGCACGCACGCACAGCACGCACGCACGCCATCACAAGCACGCCATCGCCATCGGCACGCATCAAGCAACAAGCACGCCATCGCCATCAGCACGCACGCATCGCCATCGACACGCACATCACCGCACCGCCATCGCCATCAACGCATCACCGCCATCGCCATCGCCATCGCACCAGCACGGCACGCACGCCATAATCACGCATCGCATCGCACGCCATCGCACAAGTCGGCATCGCCATGCATATCAGCACGCCATCGCACGCACGCGCACCGCATATCAGCACGCATCGCCATCGCCATCAACACGCATCAAGCATCGCACGCTATCACATCACCGCCACGCTATCGCCATCAAGCACTCATCAAGCACATCGCTAACGCCATCGCCATCGCCATCAATACATCGCCACGCCATCGCCATCGCCCATCGTACCGCACGCATCAGCACGCACGCACGGCATCGCACGCACGCCATCGCATATCACCACACGCATCGCACGCCATCGCCACATCAGCACGCCATCGCCATCGCCATCGCCATCGCACATCACCGCCATATCGCCATCGCCATCGCACGCACGCTACACGCACGCATCGCCATCAAGCACGCTATCGCCATCGCATACATCACCCGCCATCGCCATCGCCATCACACAATGCCATCGCGTCGCCACGCATACCGCCATCACCGCACGCATCGCACACGCATAATACGCCATCACACCAGCACGCACGCTAACGCCATCGCCATCGCCATCGCACATCACCGCACTCATCGGCACGCCATCGCCATACATCGCACATCGCCATCGCCATCGCATCGCACATCACCGCACGGCATCGCACGCATCGCATATCGCACGCTATCGCCATCGCATACATCACCGCACGCCATCGCCACGCTAACGCCATCGCACACCGCCATCGCCATCGCCATCGCTAACGCCATCGCTAACGCATCGCCACATCACCGCCATCGCCATCGCCATCGCACGCACGGCACATCGCCATCATCGCCATCGCCATCGCACATCACCAAGCACGCACCGCCATCGCCATCGCACGCACAACGCCACGCCATCGCACGCACGCATCACCGCCATCGCCACGCATACGCTACACGCACGCCACGCACGCCATCGCCATACCGCCACGCACGCATCGCACGCACGCACGCGCACGCATCACATATACATCGCACGCACACGCCATCCGCACGCATCGCACGACATCGCACGCAGACGCACGCATATCGCACGCATCGCCATCAGCACGCGATCGCCACGCACGCCATCGCCACACGCACCGCATACGCACGCATCGCCACGCCATCGCACGGCATATCCACGCACGCCACACGCACGCACAGCATTTCACGCACGCATCGCTACACGCACGGCATATCGCCATCAGCACGCATCGCCACGCTAACGCACGCACGCACGCGCATACGCACGCTATCGCGCACGCACGCACGCACCGCACGCACGCACGCACGCACGCACGGCATACGCCACGCACGCACGCACACGCTACGCACGGCACGCACGCACGCACACGCACGCACGCACGCACGCACGGCACGCACGCGCACACGCCACGCATACGCCACGCATCGCACCGCAACACGCCATCAGCACGCGCATCGCCACGCACGCACGCACGCCATCAGCACGCACGCATCACACGCCACGCACGCGCACGCTATCGCCATCGGCACGCCACGCACGCCACGCACGCACGCACGCACATCGCCACGCACGCATCGCGCACGCGCACGCACGCTATCGCCATCAGCACACGCACGCACGCACGCACGCACAAGCACGCACGCATCGTCACACGTTATCGCAACCCATCAGCACGCGCACAAGCATCAGCACGCACAGAGCACAGCACAAGAATACGCCACGCACACGCATCACACGCACACGCACGCACGCACGCACACGGCACGCACAAGCAAGCACGCCACGGCACGCACACACGGCACGGCATCACGTACACGCACGCCATCGCCACGCATCGGCATACGCCATCGCACGGCATACCGCCATCGCACGCACGCACGGCACGCATCGCACGCACGCAACGTACGCCGCACAGCACGCCGCACGCTATCGCACGCACGCACGGCACAGCACGCAGCACGCACGCCATCACACGCCACGCACGCACGCACGCACGCATACGGCACGCACGCACGCACGCACGCCACGCACGCATACGCACGGCACGCACGGCATACGCCATACACGCCACGCACAAGCACGCGCACGCCATCGGCACGCACGCACGCATACGCACGCACGCACGCATACGCACGCACGCACGCACGCATACGCACGCACGCACACGCCACGCCATCAGCATACGCCACGCACGGCACGCACGCAATCAGCACTACATCGCCATCGGCATCGCCATCGCATCACACACGCCATCCACGCCACGCTATCGCACGCACGCACGCACCGCCACATCGCACAAGCACCTACCGCACGCACGCACGCACGCCACTACACACGCCACGCACGCACGCACATCACACGCATATCGCCACGCTATCGCACGCACGCACGCACGCATCGCACACGCCACGCACGCACGCACGCTAATGCACACGCCACGCATCGCACACGCACGCTAACGGCACGCCATCGCATACCACATATATCACACTACACCGCCATCAGCACGCCATCGCCACGCTACCGCTACCGCCATCGCACGCTATCGCTAGCACGCCACGCCAAACGCATCGCATACGCATCGCACGCACGCACACGCACGCACGCATCGCCATCGCACACGCAACAGCACGCATCGCCAACGCTAATGCCGCACCGCACGCACGCACGCATAATGCCACGCACACGCACGCATTATGCCACGGCATACGCCATCAGCATACGCACCGCACGCATCGCATACGCCATCGCCACGCACGCTCACGCACGCACGCATATCGCCATCACCACGCCATCGCCATCACACGCCATCACACGCACGCACGCACGCCATACGGCTATCGCAGCACGCACGCCACACCGCCACCGCCACGCACGCCATCGCCACGCACGCACGCACGCACAAGTACGCACGCCGCACGCACGCATCGCACGCTACCGCACCGCACGCACGCAACGCCGCTAACGCACGCACGTACACGCCACGCACGCACCACGCACGCACGCACCGCCACGCACGCACGCACGCACGCACGCTAACCGCACGCTAATGCGCACGCACGCGCTAATGCTACCGCACGCCGCACGCACGCACGCACGCACGCACGCCGCACGCACGCATCACGCACCGCACGCACGCATCACGCAACGCACGCACGTATACGCACGCATCACCGCTACGCACGCACACGCACGCCCGCATCACGCACGCGACGCATCACGCGCATCGCACAAGTACGCACCGCACGCACGTACGCACGCTACGCACGCACCGCACAAGTACGCACCGCACGTACGCACGCACGGCATTGCACGCACGCACAAGTACGCACGCTACGCATCGCACGCACAATGCAACCGCACGCACGCACGCACGCATCGCACGCATCACCGCTAACCGCACGCATCGCCATCGCACGCACGCACGCCATCAACAGCACGCACGCCGCACGCGTCAGCACCGCTAACCGCACACGCACGCTAACAAGCACGCACACGCACGCATCACCGCACCGCACGCACGCACGCTACACGCACGCACGCACGCGCATAATCGCCACGCACCGCCACAGCACGCTAACCGCACGCACCGCACGCAATGCGCATACCGCCACGCAACCGCACGCATCAACGCACGCACGCACGCGCACGCACGCATCACGCACAAGCACGCACGCTAACCGCACGCTAATGCCGCACGCACGCACGCACGCACGCACGTGCCACGCACGCACGCACGCATCGCACCGCTAACCATGCACGCACGCACGCACGCACGCGCACAGCCGCGCACCGCACGCACGCACGCACGCACGCACGCATCACGCACGCCCGCTATACGCATACCGCACGCACGCACGCACGCATATCGCACGCACGCATATCGCACCGCACACGCATCGCACGCATCGCATATCGCACCGCCGCACGCACGCACGCACGCAGCCAGCATCACGCATCGCACCACGCACGCATACGCACACGCACGCGCCACAGCACCACGCAACGCAGCACCGCACGCACCACCACATCGCACGCACACGCGCAACCGCATCCACCCACGCACCGCACGCCACGCACGCACGACTGCACGCACGCATTACCGCACGCATCCATGCCACGCCGCTACGCATGCACACGCCCATCGCACGCACGCACGCCGCACGCCACGACACGCCGCACGCACACGCATCACCGCACGCACGCACGCACGCACCGCTAACCGCACCGCACACGCACAGCACGCACGCACGCACGCATCAACACGAACCGCACGCACGCACGCACGCACCGCACGCAACCGCACGCACGGCAACCCGCACGCACGCACGCACACCGCACCGCACGCACGCACGCACGCACGCACGCACGCCGCTACCGCACGCACGCAACGCACGCACGCACGCACGCACGCCGCCACGCACGCACGCACGCACGCACGCACGCACGCCGCACGCACGCACGCATCACCGCTACCGCACGCACGCCGCACGCACGCACCGCACGCGCACGCACGCCGCACCTACGCATCACGCACGCACGCACGCACGACGCACGCTACGCACGCACGCACGCTACCGCAAACACGCACGTCATGCACGCACGCCACGCACAACGCCACGCACGCACGCACGCACGCACGCACGCACACGCACGCACGCACGCACGCACACCGCACGCTCGCACGCACTCAGCACGCATACACGCACGCATACGCACGCACCATCACGCACGCCACGCACCGCACGCACACGCACGCACGCACAAGCACGCACGCACGCATCACGCAACCGCCATAAGCACGCACGCACGCACCGACGCACGCATACGCACGACGCACGCACGCATCGCACACGCACGCACGCGCACGCACGCACGCACGCACACCACGCACGCCGCACCGCACACGCATCCCGCACGCACCGCACGCACGCACGCACGCATCCGCACCGCACACGCACGCACGCACGCACGCACGCACGCAACGCACGCACGCGCACGCACATCGCACAAGCACGCACGCACGCAACGCACGCACGCACGCCACACGCACGCATACGACGCACGCACGCACGCACGCACGCACGCACGTGCCACGCACGCACGCACGCTATCGCACCGCTCACGCAAGGGCACGCACGCACGCACGCTAATGCGCAGAGCCGCGCACCGCACGCACGCACGCACGCACGCACGCATCACGCACCGCGCCGCAATACGCACAATCCGCACGCACGCACGCACGGCATAATACCGCACCGCACGCATACCGCACCGCACACGTATCGCACGCATGCATATCGCCGCGCACGCATGTACGCACGCTAATAACGCCCGCATTTACCATCGCACGCATTGCCGCACTGCATACGCATTACGCACGCTGCCACAGCACGTACGCATGTACGCTGGCACCGCACTCCACACAAGTAATACTGGCACCGCATAAGCACGGCCGCATTACCGCATCGCAGGTACGCACCGCACAAGCACGCATAGCACACACGCACGCACGCACCGCATTCCGCACTGCATCGGCATGCACGCCGCACCGCATGCACACGCACGCATGACACGCACGCACGCCGCACCGCCACGCCATCACGCGGCACGCACAAGCATCACCGCAACCGCACGCTAATACCGCACGCACCGCTAACCGCACCGCACGCACAAGCACGCACGCACGCACGCATCAACATGAACCGCACGCACGCACGGCACGTACCGCATCGCATAACCGCACGCACGGGCATATCACCGCACGCACGCACGCACCACCGCACCGCACGCACGCACGCACGCACGCACGCACGCCGCAACCGCACGCACGCACACGCACGCACGCACGCACGCACGCCGCCACGCACGCACGCACGCACGCACGCACGCACG